TCGTGTCCACTGACAAACAAACGGAGTGTATATGTACGATAGACTATCTCTTAGTCTTACAAGAGAAGGAGATTCTGACCCACACTACAGCCCATGGGACATTATGCTAAGTGACGTAAGCCAATCACAAAAGGAAAAATGTCTGATTCCACTTTTATGAACTACAACAGTCAAATTCATACAGATATTAAGTAGATGGTGGTTGTCAGTGGCTGCTGGGAGGGAGATTGGGGAGTTGTTTAACGGATAGAGTTTCGGTTTGGGAAGATGCAAAAGTTCTGGAGATGGACAGTAGCAATGGTTACAGAACATTGGGAATGTACTTAATGTCATAGGACTATACACTTTAAAATGCCTTAGGGGCACCTTGGTGGCTCAGTCAGCTAAGCATCCAACTTCGGCTCCCGTAATGATCTCACGGTTTGTGGGTTCGAGCCCCGTGTCAGACTCTGCTGACAGCTCAGAGCCTGGAGCCTGCTTTGGATTCTGTGTCTGCCTCTCTCTCTGCCCCTCTCCTGCTCGTGCTCTGTCTTTCTCTCTCTCAAAAATAAACACTAAAAAATTTTTTAATAAATAAAATGGTTTAAATGGTAACTTAAAAATTTTTTTTACATTTATTTATTTTTAAGAGACAGAGCACAAGTGGGGGAGGAGCAGAGAGCACATGAGACACAGAGTCCACAGCAGGCTCTCGGCTCCAAGCTGTCAGCACAGAGTCCGACATGGGGCTTGAGTTCACAAACGGAGATTGTGACCTGAGCCGAAGTCAGACGCTTAACTGAGCCACCCAGACGCCCCATTGTTTATTCATTTTTGAGAGAGAGAGACAGGGCATGAACAGGAGAGGGGCAGAGAGAGAGGGAGACACAGAATCTAAAGCAGGCTCCAGGCTCCAACCTGGCTCAAACTCACAAACTGCGAGATCATTACTGGAGCCGAAGTTGAATGCTTAACTGACTGAGCTACCCAGGTGCCCCTAAATGGTCCCTTTTACATTATATATATTTTACCACAATCTTTTTAAATAATGGGTTTTTTGAATAAGGGATACATGCAGATCTTCACTATTAACCAAGTCATTAAGTACCAGCCAAGTTCACTAGATATTGTGCCAAAAAATTAATGTTCAACTAGTTCTAAAAATAAAGTGCCTAGGGGCGCCTGGGTGGCTCACTCAGTTAAGTGTCTGACTCTTGATTTTGGTTCAGGTTATGATCTCACTGGTTCATGAGATCGAGCCCTGTGTCAGGCTCTGTGCTGACAGCGCAGGACCTGCTTGGTCTCCTTCTCACGCTCTCTCTTTCTCTCAAAATAAATGAATAAATAAAAACTTAAAAAATGAAATATCTAAACTTTTAACAATGTATTACGTGAAGTGGTCAGTGCTAAGTGATATATTTTAGCAAAACTAGAATTAAATATGGCGTTAAATATCCATCTATTAAATATACAAAGCATGTGTTTTTGATTTGTATTCAACCCATTCATTGACTAGCATTTGTTTTATTTGTCTGGGGATCAGCAAATGGAAACAATATTTAAAGAATAATTGCATTTTGAATTTCTTATTTGCATATTCCCATCTTAATTAAGATCTGTTCTGCATCCTGAATTAAAAACACATGTATTTTAGACTTAAAATCTACAGTCCAAAAAAACCTTTGTTTTTACATATCAAGTTTCTGCCCCTCTGGATTGCATGAAGAAATCTAATAAAAAAAGGAACTTACCAGAGAACAATGATTGGTCCTTGACAAGTGTATCGTCTTCTCAGAAGGAACCAGTGCAGACACCTGATACATTACAAAATTTTAATCAGCTTAAACATTGACTTTGACTTATTTTTTTCTTTTGTAGCAGAACTTTTCCCTTCGCTGTTTCTAAGAAGAGAAAAAAAACCAGTCTTTAAGATTCACAGTGCTTTCTTTTCCGGTTTTGTTTAAAGCCTAAGCATCCCTCGTTAGATAACAATGTTTTTCTGACATTTCATGTCATGGTATCATGATGACAGTTGAAGAGATGGTGGTCATGAGACCTGTAGCTTGGGAACAGCACTCCGATCGAATAAAACAGAGCAGAGCTTGCGGCTCTTTGTTTCCTTGGAGAAAAGATTCTGAGTCATTTTCAGATTAAATTTTCAAAGTACAGAAGGTGACCTTAGTTCTCAGTGGAACTTTGAACATTTAAAGTATTCTTTCAAGACTTTAGCTCGCTTTGTGATGGAACAAAATAAGTGTAGTACCCTTTATGGCTTGGATATTGTTTTTATGCTTTTTGGAATACCATCATTACAGAAGTACTGATACTTAGATTTTTGGGTAACCCTAGCCACCAGGAAGGATCCTAACGTCCTAGCCACTAGGATGTCAGCTTGTTTGAGGGGTCATTCCTAAGGCACATAAGACTGGCAATATGTAAAGAAGAGTTTAGACATCTCTCCCATTATAATCAGAATTTATCTTCAGATCAGGTAATGTGAATAATCACCGTATCTCAGTTGGGTTATTCTTGTGTTATGCTGGGGTCTGTGGTTGTCTGGGCAGCAGAGTCGCACTGAAATACCAAAGGAGCTAGTAAGATGAGAGAATCAATAATCAAGGCTGAAGTCAGTCAGACAAGGTCTAGAAATACAGGAGAAGCATTTTCATAAATAGATACCACATTATGCTTGTGGATTATTTTTCAGATTATTAAAATGGACAGCTGTCACATGCATCATTGCAGTCATATCAGTCACTGGAGGGCTGGATGGATAAAATAGCTGCCAGGTTAGGAGAATTTACCTGCAAGGAACAAAACACACACACACACACATGTATATGACTATATATACACGTGTATGTGTATGTAATTTTTTAAATATACTTTATGTACACACACATATATAAAGATATATGTGCAAATATGTGATTCTACTTCATATGCCAATTATTTAACAGCCAAGGAATGTTTTTCCCCTATGGGAAAACTGACCCAGAGATAAATATCCTCACTTCCAAAAAATGTGCAAAGTAAAAGGAAAACCAAGAATTTAAAACCATATCTCTTAAGACAGTGACAACTTAGCTGGCCACCAACTTTCCCCTCACATCAGAGGTTCATTGAGAAGGCAGCTGTCTCAGCACCGTTTGGGGGCAGACGTCAGCCTGGAGTACAGGTTTCAAGACTCCTGGAGAAGTTCCTGTCTTCACTTCTGTTTGAATGAAATCAAGTGCAGGGTTCTCCCCTTACTTACCGGGGACGTGTTCCCAGACCCCAGTGGGTGTCTGAAACCGCGGATAGCACAGAACACTGTATATACGGTTTTTCCCTATACGTACATACCAGTGTAAAGTTTAATTTATAAAGGCGGCACGGTAAGAGATTAAGAACTGGAAAAAAGAGGACAGTTACAAGTAAATTATGTGAATGTGGGCTTCCACTCTCAAAATGCCTCATTATTGTACGCTGTCGTCTTCTTGAGGACGTGAGATGATAAAAATGCCTCCATGAGGAGATGAAGCGGGATCAATGACATAGGCCTGTGATGTAGCATTAAGCTGCCATTGACCTTGTGACCGTATGTCAGAGGAGGATCCTCTGCTTCAGGACCACGGTTACCCACGGGTCACTGAAACTGCAGAAAGATTAAACATGGGTAAGGGGGCTACCGTATAGCCATCTTTCAAAAGTCACATCTTTTTATTGTCAACCCTTACTGTTAGTAATTATTTAAAAGCGGAAATCAATGGCAAGAAGGAAAACTCAGGGAGACAGCCGCCACAGGCACGCACAGTTAATTGCACACTCACACATGCTCACGGTCTCAGCTGGCCTTGAGAGTGTGACCCAGCATGAGTAAAGCCACAAGGAATTTCCATTCACCCATTAAACAAATATTTATTGAATAACTAGTATGTGCCAAGCTTCATATTTCTTGCTGCTGAATAGCCTCTGAGTTCTCAGGTCATTTATTTTAAGGAAGGAAAATACAATCTGCTGTTCTTAAACCCAAATACATCAGCAAAAGAACTGATTCTGATTCTTGTAATGGCTTTAAGAGTTGTGTGGGGAGGGGGGTGGAAGTGATAAAGGAAGAGATTTTTCCTTAAAATAAGGCTGGTAATAGTTAAGTCCATGTAGTAATTGCTATGCAACATTTAACTGATTTGTTATCATAGTAATATCTCTTCCCAGTAACTGAATACTTAAAATCTACTTACAGTAGATAGTCAGGGGAAGTAGGCTGTTAGGCTGTGGAGAAAAGCTTTGAAAGCCTTCGGTAGCTTCCTCTGTTAATATCTGACACCACTCCCAGGTTTAGTGGTTACTTGTTTGGCCTTGGTAACAAATTAGCTTCTTGCTTTGGGTGTGAGTGAGAGTGCCCTCAATGAAACAAGGCCATCTTAGAATACATTCTTCAGATGCCCGACTGTGGTGGGAAATGGACAGACATGGTTAAAGAGAGTGCTAGTCGGACTTGGACACAGGGACGTAAGCTGTAAAGCACATTTAAGGACATGTGTGGAGGAACCTCCAGGGAGGGGGTGCTTCCTCACCGAACGCTGCCGGGCCGGGGACCTGGGGTGTGCTGGAGAGGCCCGAGTGGGCCAGAACCGAGACTGAATACCATGTTTGAATTAGCCGGCTTTACTGTGATCTGCACGGCAAGAAAGCCTCCCCAAGTACCACATACTGTTCTGATCATTTCTGCAAGAGCCTTGGACTTTGCTTCTGCCAGAAAAGGGCGGTTCTGACTGTATTTCTGAGAAAACACCTCTAGGGTCTAGCCCATCCAACCATCTTATTTAGCTTCTGCTTTTTGTTGCCGTTGGGGCGAACTTGGCTCCTTGGACGTGAAGCATGTTATTCCGCCATCTGGGTCTCAGACACAATAGCATATTTTCTTTTGTTTCTTTCCTAGGGGGCGTTCAAAAAATGAGGTCACTCCCTTGTAACACTGGTTTTTCTAATTTTATGCCATCGAGTTCACACGCCTGCTCTCTCTCTGCCTTTTCCAGCAGTTTACTTCAGTGTCCCCAGCAGTTCCTGAATTCTTGAAAACTCCTACTCCGGATCAGCCCCCGACCCGGTCCCCAGCTCCTGTCCTCCCCACAAACGCGGTGTCCTCTGCAAAGCCCGGTCCAGCACTGGTGAAGGTGGGTTTCCGGCCTGCGCTGGTGTGTGAGGTCGGTTTTCTCACGGCTCATCCTTGGCCCTGTGCGCGGAACACAAAGGCACGTGTCTGCCTTTCCGCCTGGAGCCTTGAGGACACAACCATGGGCACTGGTGAGCTCAGGCCTTCCTGTTGGACGCCACCACCCTCAGCAAGTGGCTGCTGCTCTGTAGTCAGCGAAGAACTGCACAGAGCTTGGTCTCTAGAAAACTACCAGAGCCACGCAGAAAGGCTTTAGGGTACATCTCATCAGCGGTTCCCCATCCTGCGTCCATCCAGGCCACTAAGATGAAAAGACACACCAGAGGTAGGGTAAGATAGAGTCACTTCGGCACAGCACTGATGAATCATAACCCTCCCGAACAGATGTCTTTAATGGTAACATAATTTTGGACTTATTACACAAGGTCAAGCTCACTGGTATTCCAGATGTATTACATGACAGCTCAGAGGCTTCAGACAGGCAGCTACAATTTTTGCTTCAGCAGATTTGGCCTGCAGATTGGTGGCACTGTTCCCTACATTTTACTTGGCGAAATAATTCAGTTAGAAGAGGCCCCTGGGGGGGCGCCTGGGTGGCTTAGTCGGTTGAGCGTCCGACTTTCGCTTAGGTCATGATCTCACGGTTCGTGGGTTCGAGCCCCGCGTCGGGCTCTGTGCTGACTGCCAGCTCAGAGCCTGGAGCCTGTTTCAGATCTGGTCTGTGACCCCCTCTCTCTCTGACCCTCCCCTGCTCACGCTGTCTCTCTCTCTCTCTCTCTCCTAGAAATAAATAAAACATTAAAAAAAAAAAAAAAAAGAGGCCCCTAGGAAGATTAAAAATTTGAATATGTAGTATGCTTTAAAAAAATTTTTTTTCTGGGGCGCCTGGGTGGCTTAGTCGGTTAAGCGTCCGACTTTCGCTTAGGTCATGATCTCGTGGTTCATGGGTTCGAGCCCCGTGTCGGGCTCTGTGCTGACTGCCAGCTCGGAGCCTGGAGCCTGTTTCAGTCTGTGACTCCCTCTCTCTCTGACCCTCCCCTGTTCACGCTGTCTCTCTCTCTCCTAGAAATAAATAAAAATATAAAAAAAAAAAAAAAAATTTTTTTTTTCAGTGCATATAGCACTGCTAAATAAGGGGGGGAATAAACAGGAATAGTGTAAACAGCTTTTGCCAAAAGCAGCAGAACCCTGATCTCCAACTTTTAGAACTGAAAAAGGACGTCAGAGAGCTAGCTCACCCTCTCTGCATCTTTCCGTGAGGAAGTGAGGCCCCCAGAAGTCATAAGGCCAGGCAGGACCCAAGCCCTCGGAGGGCACGGGCGACTTCCTTGTGCCTCCCGGTGAGCGCAGGGCAGCACTCCCCCAAGGGAGGTACCTGGGGCAGATTCCTCCCTTCTGTCTACCCTCTGGCACTCCCCTGGTCCTCAGCCCTCGTGCACAGAGGAGGCCTTTCTCTTTCTACTCCAGCCTCTCTTTGTCAGAGTGGCCCAGTGTTTGCGGCTTCAGGGCACAGAGCAGTGTTATTTCACCATCTTCTATCACTTGGTACTGGAGCCAGAAATTCCAGAGGGTGGCAGGCGGCAGCTGAGCTGATATCCGCCCTCTGCCCACACCCGCAAGCACAAATCACTGATGACACCAAGACTGAATGCCAACGCGTCTTTCCCTGTGGGCCCTGAGTGGTCTCTGCCTCTCTGAATTGCTCCTCTTCACTAGTGTATCTTTACGGAGGGCTTTGATTCTAGGGCAAGAGGCATCGTGTAGGAATGTGACAGCCAGAGGCTGGGTGGGCTATCCTAGGACTCCGCTGGCAGAGGAAAAGCCAGGTACGTGCTGGGAAGCAGACCGCAGTTTTTCGGGGTTTGTGAGGAAAGCTGTTTCCCACCTTCACTTCCTGAGAGAATGTGCCATTGAAGACGTAGGAGCAGACTTAGCCAGAGGGACGGTGGTTCTGACGTGCCTGGTCCGCTCCCTCTGCCAACAGGTGCCTTCCTGATTGGCTGAGTCACGTGTGTCCTTACATAACAGTTATAGTGCAGCCTCCTTAACCCACAGCCCGTTGGTTGTTACCATCACTCTGAAAACACCAGCAGTAAAATCTGTTGTTGAGAACACGATAAGCAGATGACAGGGAGTTGATGAATAATGTGAGATTGCAGTACTTTGTATTTGTGTCATCATTAGAACTGTGTAACCTTATAGTCTGCTTTATTCCATTAGAAGCGCTCTTCTGTTTTTACATAGTCACTAAAGAATATAATTTTAATGGCTACAAAATATAGTGCCCAGTTAGGGTGAAGCACACCTTATCCTTTTCCATTTGTATATTTAGCATACAGCCCATTTTTCACTAGGAGACAACATATGTAAGTGTGTCTAAACAAGAGACCCAAAGTAACTTTTTATTGAACTTGAAAAGATCATGCTTAGCTGAGTACATCCTTCCCTTACTCTGAGGAAACAAGGAGCAGGAGAAAGTTAAGTTCTTAGGGGCCAGATTGTTTTTAAGTTTATTTATTTTGAGAGAGAAGGTGTGAGCAGGGGAGGGGCAGAGAGAAAGGGAGAGAGAAGCCCAAGCAGGCTCCATGGTGTCAATACAGACACCGACGCGGGGCTCAAACCCACAAACCATGAGATTGTGACCTGAGCCAAAATCAAGACCGGAAGCTCAATCGACTGAGGCCCCAGGCGCCAGATTGCGTGGTCCGAGAAGGTACACACATGCTTTCATAGCTCCGGCAACGTATGTGGTGTACTGCTTTCCAGAGCGGCTACACCAGTTTCTGAGGTACGTTGCTTTTTTATGTCAGATCATTTAGGCACGCGGTAGAATAGGCCGCAATGTGGTGGCGCCTCTAAAAATGGTCCTCTCTTAAAAGCTGAGAACACACTGAGGGCTGATGGGTATGGGGGGAGGGGAAGGGGGGGCAGTGGTCATGGGGGAGGGCACTTGTGGGGATGAGCACTGGGTGTTATATGGAAACCAACTTGACAGTAAACTATTTTAAAAAAGGTATAAAAATTAAAAATAAATAAAAATAAAAATGCTCCTCTCTTTTTCTTAAAAATAGCAAAGCCATCCCAAGAACCCTAACGACAAGCACCGTAGCAAAAAGTGCAAAGACCCCAAGCCACGGGTAAAGAAGCTGAAGTACCACCAGTACATCCCGCCCGACCAGAAGGGGGAGAAGAGCGAGCCGCAGATGGACTCCAACTACGCCCGCCTGCTCCAGCAGCAGCAGCTCTTCCTGCAGCTCCAGATCCTGAGCCAGCAGCAGCAGCACTACAACTACCAGACCATCCTGCCCGCGCCGCTCAAGTACGGGGGCTGGGGCGGCGCGCGCCGGTCCGCTGGTTCCCAGGGGTGCATGTCGTGGGGCTGCACGACTAGTCTCCCTCGTTGTGCTCAAAGCCCATCAGGTGGCATCTTGCCCTGGCGCCGGTGCCAGGACGCTGCCTCCCCGTCCAGTGTTTGTCCTCCAAAATCCGTTCCGAGCCTTAAGCTTTCAAGCTTCAGGTGCCCTGAAGAGAGCACCCAGGAGAGATCTGCCTGTCATTTACCCAGATAGTATCAGACGCTGTGAGAAAAGTATAACAAGTGTAAGTCCTGCTACAAACAGCTTAAAAAAAGGGGGGAAAAAGGATGAGTGTAGAAGCTGGAGTGGTCAAGGAGAGCTTTATGGAAGCAGGCAGGGTATTTCTATGGGAAAGAGCCTGAAACTTGGGAAGGGCCCTTTCATGCAAAGGGGAATGATCCCCGTGCGGGAACAGAGGAAGGAGCGGGCAATGCCTCTTTACTGGATGATGAGAAAAATAGCCTGAATGAGGAATGCGATGAAAAGTCGAAGACAAAACTGAGTCGAGCCCGTGTCAGAGGAACTTGAAGCCGAGCAGCCTTGCATCTTGATGTGGTAGATGATTCAGAGGACTGGAGCGGTGAAACCACAGTGCAAGACAGGGCAGCGGGATGCTGGTAATGAAGGGGAGTCTGGAAATAGAAAAAACAGGAATTTCACAATAAAGGAGATGTGAGAGGATAAGGGCATTGATAAGGGGAAGCAAAGAACAGATGAGAGATGTTTCAGAGACAGTTAAAGGTCTTGGTGACCAACAACTGTGGAGAAGGAATGTGTTTCCAGAGTCTGAGCCCAGTTGGGAGAGACGGAAGGGAGTGAGTTCCGACAGCTTCTGAGACTGAATCCATAGCAAACTTTGATTATGTACGAAAGGAAATTTCTAGGTTTCCATCCTCAGTATGCATTTTCTGGGAAACATAGATACAAATGCACATGCCCTTTCATTTCCCTCAGTTTTCAGGAGAAAGGGAGATTTACATTCACCTCACAGAAAGAAAGTCTACAAGGTTCAAAATTTCATTTGAGTTAAAAGTTTTCCTCAGTGATTAGGCCGCTCAGTTTATGATCCGTGTAGTGTGTGGAAACTCACCCCCGCTAGTCTCCGCGTATGCCGAGCATTCCAGCACAGGGCGCCCCACTTCCTGGGAGCAGACAAGGAGTAAGATCTGCTAAAAGGCTCCTCTCTTAAGAACTATCGCCTCATATGCTAATGATTATCAATTCACTGTTTTCTTTTAAGATCCTGATATCTCGAGGAAGATTAGACCTATTAGTCATTTGGACCTTCCTGTGAAGCACTTAAATCTAAAACATCAGGGCGCAGAGATGAAGAAAGAAAGAATTTTTGTAGCATGTTGTTATTTTAAGAGCAAGCAGGCCTGACTGAGATGTTGACCTTGGAAGGGAACCAGGGAAGACCAAAGAGAATTGGAAGCTCATCAGAGGCAAACCGCCGCCGCTTCTCAGCTTTGTCCAGGCCCGAGGGAGGCGTCCTCCCCTGCTGCCTCCTCGGGCATCAGGCACCAGGGATGCGAGCGGTGACTGGCTCCCCTCTGCGTGCTCCTGACAACGCACCCAGAGTGTGCGCGGCTGCTTGACATCATTGTGCTCCTCTCAGTAACTCCAGGAGGAGGTGAAGTTGCCGACCGCACTCCCAGGCGAGGAAACCTGGAAAACTGAGAATCTTATAAAAGGATTTTATAAGTAGTATCTATGAAACAGTCTTTTCTGTAATGAAAGAAACTGACTGTGTGGGGCCAGGGCGTAGATGGGCAGAGTGCATCTGAGGAGCTGAGTCTCTGGTCTGTAACGGTTCTGTGTGTTTCCACTAAGGCTGCAGGCTCCCTGTCCCCCGTGAACACCCCTGGCCGCCGCAGCCCAGCCACCCAGCCCAGGAGAGCATCCCACACAAGATCCAGGAACACGGAGGGGGAAAGATCACTTAGTTTTGTGCGCATCACTGGGGAACGTCACTTCTGTTTAATTTCCAGGTTCTGAAGGTGGAGATGATGTTTTCTAACTCCGTGTTTCTTTTCACCAAAATTCCAGTACAGGAGGCTGGATGCAGAAGTCTGTAGCACCCACAGCAGTGAGGTTCGACCTCATAACACAGCCCCTGGTACCGTGCAGGATGGGGTGGTAGTCACAGCATAGCCACACGCTGACAGGGGGTCCTGGAGGGTCGTTTCGGGTGTCTGGACTTCGGGCTTCTCGCCCACACGGACATTTGACATTGCCACGGCATGTTTTCGTTCTCTGTTGGTCTAGGGGAAAAAACAGAGGTCCAACTTACTCTCGTTATTTCAAAGATTGAACCAAGCAACTTACTCTCGTTATTTCACAGGTTGAGCTGTTAACCATAGTGACAAGTACAGCATTACAGAATCTCAACCAAAAGCACGAATAGAATAATTAATTGTTCACAAGGGAGCAGAAGTCGGTTGGGGGGAATGTTGCAATTGCGATTTAAGAGAGCATAGCCACGCATATGCTGCATAGGTGATTATGCCATACATCTGTGAGGGTATTAAACTTCACTGGGCGGTTGATTAGGGAAAAAAATTCTTAAAAAGTCTCCTTGTGGAGATAGTAATGAAAGTATGGTTGAGAGGTTCTGATTTACAGAACATTTTTGTAATCCTAATAGATTTTAAAACTGAATTTTTAGAGAGGAGAAAAATGATACATAAAATATTTGTCATTTCATCCAGTTTCAAGAAACTTCATCTCAAATACTTAAAGTATTTAACTTCCATACAATTTAGGCAGATTTTTTAAATTTTTTAAATTTTTAATTTATTTTTTAGAGAGAGAGAGAGACAGCATGAGCGGGGGAGGGTCAGAGAGAGAGGGAGACACAGAATCCAAAACAGGCTCCAGGCTCTGAGCTAGCCATCAGCACAGAGCCCAATGTGGAGTTCGAACCCACGAACCATGAGATCATGATCTGAGCTGAAGTCGGACGCTTAACTGACTGAGCCACCCAGGCGCCCCAAGGCAGGTTTTCAAAGACCCCAAGTGAATGTCAAGAGTTAGCTGTTCACAGGGCCAGAAATGGCTCAAACGCCATCTTCCTAAAACCCACTGGACAAAGCTCATCTAAGCATGGACCTCTCCCCATAAGCAACATCAGGTCCCTATTCAGAATATGAAATTCAGAGTCTCCATGCTTCAGCACCACGGCTCCTGTAAGGATAAAGCCCGAGGCTCCAATGGAATTTGCTGTACAGTATCAGCCATCATGTGTACCTTTCTTTAATTGGTGTCAGCCGCCCAGAAGAGGAAATGCCATTGTTGCCAAGAGTATCATGGGGAAGAAGCTAGAACGGGACCCGGCTTTGCTGTGGAAAAGAGTTTAGGAAAATGAGTACAGAAGTACCACCCCTTTTTTAATCACCTTTTTAAATGAAGTGTAAGTGATAGAGAAGTCCATAAATCATAACTGAAAAATGATGCCAGGTAAACACACCTCCATAACCACTCCCTAAATCAAGAAATATATTATTATCAGTGCCCCAAAGGCCCCCTTGCATCCCCTCTCAGTGACTACCTGACTTCTCTCCCATTGAGTAGTTTTGCCTTGTTTTTGGACATTATATAAATGCAGTCTTACGGTATATGTATGCATGTGAGTTCCTTTGCTCAACATTGTGCTCGTGAGATGCATCTTTACTGGTGCAGATAGCAGTAAATTTTTATTCCTGTCTGGTCTTCTGTAATGTGTCCACCATCATCATCTTGGTGGACAGCTGGGTTGTTTCCAGTTGGGACTATTATGAATAAGGCCATACTAAGCATTCTGACCTGTGTTTTTGGTTCATGTATGTAGATCTTTGTCAGGTGTCCCTTGAGGAATGGAATTGGGTCGGGATAGGCACAGGTTTTTCTGGAGTAGATAACATAAAACACTTCTCCAAAGTGATTGTGCCAATCCCCACTTCTACTAGCCGTGATTGAGCGCTCTGGTGTTCCAAGTGCTCCGTGTCGGTGTCTTGCTCGTCACAGCGGCAGTTCTGCTGGATGTGCAGCGCTGTTTTGTCATGCCTTTTTTCATTTTCCTCGTGTCTTGTGAGGTTAAGCACTGTTCACACATTTATGGACCATTTGGATCTATTTTCTTGTGATAGGCTTGTTCAAGATTTTCCCATTTTCCCATTGGACTTCGTGTTTTTCTTACTGATTTGTAAGATTTTTTTGTATATTCTAGATATGAGGACGTGTCAGAAATATGTATTACAGGGGCTCCTGGGTGGCTCAGTCAGTTAAGTGTCTGACTTTAGCCCAGGTCATGATCTCACGGTTCGTGGGTTTGAGCCTCATGTAAGGCTCTGTGCTGACTGCTCGGAGCCTGGATCCTGCTTCAAATTCTCTGCCCCTCCCCCACTCGCTCGCTTGCTCTCAAAAATGAATAAACATTAAGAAATTAAAATAAATATGTATTAGAAGTATCTCCTCCTATGGTTTGACTTTTCACTCTTAAAGCTGTCTCTCGTAGTGCGTTTTGTGTCCTGTTTAAGAAATCTTTGCCTACCCAAAGGCCCTGAAGATATTATTCTAAGTTTTCTTTTTTTTAAAGTTTGTTTGTTTGTGAGAAAGAAAGCACAAGTCAGGGAGTGGCAGAGAGAGAGGGAGAGAGTGAGCCAGTGCAGAGCCTGATACAGGGCTCAAACCCACGAACCACAAGATCATGACCTGAGCCAAAGTCAGACACCCCAAAATATTATCCTGTTTTCTAAAAGCTTTATTGCTTTTATAATTCACATTTAGGTTTTTGAGATGGTGTGAGGTAGGGGTCAGTCCAGGGCCTTAGTTTTATCTGTATGAATATCCAGGGTGGCCCAGCACCATTTATTGTAAGGACCACCGCCTTTCTACTGCACTACAGTGCCATCTTGGTGATAATCAAGAGACTCTCTCTGTCAAGGTTTCTGGATTCTCTCTTCTCTTCCATTTGTTGTTCTGCCCTTGTACCAGCATTACACCATCTTACTAACTGGCTTTTTAATGAATTTTGATAACTGATGGTATGATTCTTCCAGCTTTGCTTTTTTTTAAGGATGCCATGGCCATTTTTGGTCCTTTGTGTTTCCATATATAGCTCAGAGTCACGTTCAGAATTTCTACCAAGCAAGCAAGCAAATAAAACTTGCAGGGATTTTTTTTTTTTTTTGGGGGGGGGGAGGTCTAATTTGATATCTTTATAATATTGACTCTTCCAATCCATGACCATGGTATTTTTCTCTTTACAAGTTAACAACTTGTTAGCAGAAGGAATATCAAATTCAGAAATGATTTTATTATAAACTCTAATTTTCTTTTTCTTTGAAGGCCACTCAATGACAAAAATAACAACAGTGGTAATTCAGCTCTGAACAACACCACGCCTAACACACCAAGACAGAATCCGCCTGCTCCCGTGAGAAAGCCGGGACCTCTGCCTTCTAGCTTGGATGACCTAAAGGTAATAATTCAGAGTAGAGTTCATTCACGCAGAATTACCACAAAAACATAAATAATTGGCCACATTTGTCTGACGTGTAGGTAAATTTTCAATAGACATTTCAGCTATAAGATAACTTTTCCAGGGGTACTTTCCGTTTACATCCATTAAGTTTCTTTGAAAAGGACTAGTAATAACTCTCATTTGTTGAGCACACACCATGTGCGGGCACCAAACCGCTTCTGACTGCACAGGGAGATTTTCTTCTTCCCCACTCATTGCTGAGTTGGGGAGAAGCAGGGAATCTACTCTCCGAGTCCAGACTGCACAGGCTTCCACCCCAGCTCAGCCTCTCGTCATCCATGGTAGCTCGGACACAACGGGTCAGCCTCTCTCTGTCCCAGTCTCCTCATCTGTGAACCAGGAATAGTGATAATAATACCCACACCTCATGTGAGGATTAATTGAAAGAATAGGGCCATCTGAGTGACTCAGTCGGTGAAGCGTTCAGCTCCGGCGCTCCCCTCAGGTCTTGATCTTAGGGTCGTGAGTTCAGGCTCCGAGTTGGGCTCTGCGCTGGCCATGGAGCCTGCTTTAAAACATACATACATACATATATATATATATATATACATGAAGCGCTTCACCAGTGTCTGGCACATGGTAATTACCCAATGAATGTGACTGTTCTCATGATTTCTGGTGGCAAGTCCTTGGACATAACAGGAATTACCCTCTAAAAGCCCTTGCTTTCCCGCCGGCCTTTCCAGTGCCTCAGGTCCACAGCTGTGTGTGTGTCGGGAGAAGAACCGTGCTAGTGCGGGGCTGGCAGGCGTAGGCGCCGTCCCCGTCCGCGCGCCCTATAGGTCTGCCGAAAGCTGCGGTGCCGAGAGAAGAGACGTGACGTGTTTGTGCTTGCAGGTGTCGGAACTGAAGACGGAGCTGAAGTTACGGGGCCTTCCGGTGTCAGGCACCAAACCAGACCTCATCGAACGCCTGAAGCCCTACCAGGAAGTGAACAGCAGCGGTGTGGCTGCCGGCAGCGTCCTGGCGGTGCCAGCGTCTGCCATCGTCACCAGCAACCCCGAAGTCACCGTGGCACTGCCGGTGACAACGCTGCACAACTCCGTGACGAGCTCAGGCTCCTCTTTCAAGGCAGAGCTGCCGCCTGCCGGAGCCAGCAGCGTCGCCCACGTCGAGAGTGTCACTTCCCCTCTGCCCATCTCGCCGTCCCCCTCCGAGCAGTCCAGTCTCGGGACCGAGGACACAAGCATGGCAGACACGTTCACCGAGATCATGACCATGATGTCTCCTGCGCAGTTCCTGTGCTCGTCGCCTCTGAGAGTGACGGGCAGCGAAGAGAGCCCGAGTCCCACCAGCAGCACGCTGTCGAGCCTGGAACTGGATGCGGCCGAGAAGGACCGCAAGCTGCAGGAGAAGGAGAAGCAGATCGAGGAGCTAAAGCGGAAACTGGAACAGGAGCAGAAGCTCGTGGAGGTTCTGAAAATGCAGCTTGAGGTTGAAAAGCGAGGGCAGCGGCAGCAGCCGCCGCTGGAGCCCCAGCCCGGCGCCCCCACCGCTTCAGCCAGCAAGCTGGACCCGAAGCTCGGCGGGGTCGGCTCCTCCGTCAAGGACGAGGCGGCGCTCCCCGACTGCTCCAGCCCCAGGCAGCCTGGGCCGCTGGCCGGCCACCCTGTAGGCCAGCCCGTCTCCACGGGCGGCCAGAACCTCGTTGCCAAAAAGGCCGTAGTGATCAAGCAGGAGGTCCCCGTGGCCCAGGCGGAGCAGCAGAGCGTCGTCCCGCAGTTTTACGTGAGTTCCCAGGGACAGCCGCCGCCTGCCGTTGTCGCTCAGCCTCAGGCTTTACTGACCACACAGACCGCTCAGCTGCTGCTGCCGCTGTCCGTCCAGGGCTCCAGTGTCACCTCAGTGCAGCTCCCAGTAGGCAGCCTCAGACTCCAGGTGTGAAGTGTGGCTTCTAACTCCTTTGCCTTACAGCCTGCAGGGAACAGACACTTGCCTAATGACGCGCGCCCGAGCCCTCTCATAGTGCACCCAGACCAGGCCTCAGAGTCGCAGAAAATGTGGGCGTGGGCGTGGGAGGCGTAAAATTTAATTCAGAAATGTTAATAGCTGGCATTGTCTCATTATGGTAAAAACGAGCAAGGGGTGCTTTCCTACTTTTGATAGCTTTTGTCTTTAGTGAACACGGTGTCTTTAGTGAACATGCAGACATTTTGAAATACCAGTTAAAGTATCATGAAACCAGCTGTGTGCAAGGCACAGCATCAGTACCTTTTTTTTTTTTTTTTTTTAATTTAAGTTATCTCAACACCCAGCATGGGGCTCAAACTCACGACCCCGAGATCAAGAGTCGTGTGCTCCTTCGACTCAGCCGGCCAGGCGCCCCTTGAGCTTTAAATGGCTTGCCCCCTTCATCTCTCCCTTCCCCCAGAAGATCTCAGTTTGATAGCATCCATTTTGAGGTAGGGAAACTGAGGCCTTGAAAGGTTGGATAAGTTGCTCCGGGCCAGCTCTGGGCCTTCTGATTGCCCTGCTTTTACTTTTACGCCCACCCATGTATTCTGCCTCCTAAATGTGATTCTTGAAAGACACCATTGAAGTGAAGATGCCTAAGGCATGTGGGGCATCTGAGGAAGGTGTGACCACAAACTTAGGGTGAAGGTGTTCCTGAGGGGGATGATCAAACACTGGTAAACATAGCACCTCCTTTTATGCCTCTGTAACCTGTGTTGACCTTGATTTTATGCAGTGCATTTTGGTAGGTTCCCCCACAGTGTGTGGGCCACAGGCAAACAGAAGCCACCTGTGGGCATTGCTCCTCAGCTTTGACCCCCACCCCACCCCCGCACACTCGTCATGGCGCAAAGCGTTGGCTCATGCCCCTGGGGCTAAGGAAACATGACCCAGAGGCCCTGGCATGTGCAAACATTCTAATTCCCCTGCTTCAAGTGTAGAGTGTCTGTGACATAGAAAGTCTACTCTGTGGTACAGCTTTTCTAAACATTTTCTTTCCACCCAAATCTTCCACTAGAGTTGATGTTCTCTCTTCGGGGCACGTGCAGCCCCCACACGTAGCTGACTGTTTCCAGAGGGCGCACATACTGTTGGCGCAGTCAGGCCTCAGGTCTCCTTGCTGCTATGAAAATTATTTTAACACCTGACCTAGTATGTGTAGAGCTACTACAGGTTTTTATTCAGTTTTCTGTTTTCTCAAAATTTTCAGGTGAAAATCTTAGCTGCTTAAGAAATAATAAGAGTGTGAAAATAACCGGTCTGGCGTTTAACACTCTGGTTTAGAATTAAGGTTCAAGTCTATGTGTCGATGAAGTGTGTATCTATCTGTAAATATTTTATCATTTCATTTCAGGTATGTTCCCCACATCTAAACTCTTTTTTTAAAAGTTTATGTTTATATTTTTAAATAATCTCTATACCCAAACTCAACCCAAACTTGGCCTGGGGCTCAGACCCACAACCAAGAGTAACATGCTCTTCTGACGGAACTATCCAGGTGCCCCCACATCTACACTCTTGATTCTGAGTTTGGTTTTGATAATTAAATTGGTATTTTATTTGCTTCCTAGACTCCAGCACAAGCAGGAATCCAGACTCAGCCTCAGCCTCAGCCTCAGCCAGCAGCCACCACCCTGTCCTCAGGCTTAGCCCAGACTGTACCTCAGAAGCCAGACACTTTCACGCCACATGTGCTCAGTCAGCCTCAGCAAGTTAGAAAGGTGGGTGAGTGCTAGTGAGTGACAGGCTGTCGCCGATGGTGACTGTCATCTGCTCAGCCATTCTGCAGGTGTCCTAGTGGTCTCTCTGTGGGAAGCACCTGTTCTTCTGTGCCATGCGCCTCCCGTTGGATGAGCCCCAGGTCGGTCACCCGCCGTCCTCCTGCAGATTACCCAGTTACTTGGGGAAAAGGGATTCTTTTTACTGAAAGATGGGTCGTTTTAACAGTTAAAGCCCTTTTCCAAGTAAAAGCTTCAAAAGTATGTTTTTAATCCTCATATGTAGGATTTTCTGAGTTTTAAAATACATTTCTTTTCAAATTAATCATCTAGTTGGGTGGGAGGGAAGTGCTGTTCCCTGGGAACAGATATTTGAAGATGAAAAAGATACTTTCTGAAGTGTTTACCTTGAGTAAGATCTTCACATATTTAAGAGTTTGCCATCTTTTAGATTAAGGAGCCAGAAGGCCCAGGTCTGCGTATTCTGGTTCCCCACTTCCTGCATCTTTGGCCTGATGCACAATTCACTTACTTCCTCTGAGTGTCATTTTCCTCATCTTTGAGACGACAGTGTTGGTCTAGGACTCAGTAACCTCTACATGTGTTCCTACCAAAAACATTCTGATGTTAAGTAGCCCAAAAGTCACCAAAATTCCCTTTTACCCAGCAGGTGGAGCTGTGTGCACATACTCCTTGATAGAAAACTCTTAAGGCCTCAAAAATAGGTCTTACTGTTTTAATTCTTGAGAATTATGAGTCCCAGATTTTAATCTTCAGCGTAAAAGAACCTGGATAATTAGGTGTACCTATAGACACGCCCCGAGGTGGTGTGAGCTGTCTGGGCTAAGACCACTTGAGCAGCAGACAGAAGTCTGAGGTCAGCGGTAGTCACATTAACATGTGCTCTCTTCTGGAATCTCCTCTGGGAATGCAGTGACTTATACCTGCATATTATGGACTTTGGGCTCACAATAACATTTTAGGGTAGTGATCAGCTCAGTGAATGTTCAGATGTCAAGACCGTTTCCTTTGTTTTAGAGAGGAGAGAGAACGACGTGATATAGACAGGATAAATAAAGGTTTATTCACTAAGACCCACTAGAATTAGGGATCATTAATTCCAACTTTTTCAAAGAGGAGTACACTTCCAAGACTCCGTGCCACAGCAGCTTTACTGTTTGAAGGGACGGACACACACACACACGCACACACGGATATACTTGCCCGCTTAAGAAATACATATGTATGTTTACAATAGAAATATAGAGGTAAGTTTGTCTTTTTCAGAATACTAGTGGTATGAAGTCTATGAACTATTTTTATGAGTAAACCAGTTGTGCGAAATACAGTCACAGAATCACACTGTGACCACACGCTTGTCAAAGGCCATAAAACCTTTGGCTTGTGATGGGGGCTAAACAAACACTTGGTAGTTCCACAGGAGGGAATCCTCTCGGCTCGCTCACAGAGCCAAGGACAGCTTCTCAGACGGGGGCAGGTTTTAAATGGGGCCCTGCAAGGACTTGGAGACGTTCTCAACAAACTGAAACATTGAGTGTGGCCGCGGCCTGTGTGGCCTTTCCAGTGGGACAGAAAAGGGGCCAGGTGGTAGAAGGTTTTTGTGCCAGCCGGAGATGAGGGTCTTACCTAAGGACAGAGGAGCCGGGGAGTGTGAGGGCTCCATCCGCCGTGTGTTAAGGCTGTAACTGTAGCGGAGGGTTGACGGGGAGGGGGGTGCGGTGAAGAGGCTGCCAGGCCGTCCGGCCATCAGCAGCAAGGACCCGAATGAGGACCGCGGAGGACAGAGGCCTGATTCAAGAGGTATTCCTAAGGCGTGTGAGCACTGAGCGGAGCGAGCCGTGGAGACTGACGGCTCCATTTACCAACGTTTTAAAAATAAATGAAGGGAGAACCAAGGATGATTTTTCCTCAGAGGCTGGAGGTGGTGGAAGGAACGGGGAAAGTTTAGTTTGGAATCTATTAAATTTGAGATGTCTCAAATTTATGTTTGTAAAGGCTATAAATGTGGCTTTGGCACTTGGGAACAGGCTGGAAAAGAGAGGTGGGTTTGGGGATTATTAGCTGAATCGTGGACATTAAAGCTGTGAAAGTAGATCGAGACCACCCTGGTGAGCAATCTGAGAAAGAAGTTACACTGAGCAAATGCTGATTTCCCAGCAGGTACAGTCCACGCGGCCATCTAAGACAGGCCAGTGAGTAAAGGGACCATGGCCTGAGGGCCACATCCAGCCACCCCCCCCACCCCCGGCCACTAGTCTGTTTCTGTAGATAAAGTTTTAATTGGAACCCAGCCCCGCCCATTTTTTTAGGTGTTGTCCAAACTGCTTCCGGGCTGTAGTGGCAGAGGTGAGCGGTTACAACAGACAGTCCGTGGCCTGCAAACGTGGTGGCTCTTCACAGAGAAGGTCTGCCAAGCCTCGTCCTAAAACATGGTTTTCTTCGGCGGGAAGAGCAAAAGAACAGACTGAATGGAAAATACTTGTTCATTACAGGTTTTCACGAACTCGGCATCAAATTCAGTTCTTCCATATCAGAGACCACCTGCTCCAGCGGTCCAGCAGCCCTTTGTTACCAAGACCTCCGCCAGCGTTCTTCAGTCCCGAGGCACCCCACTTCCCGCCCTGCAGAACGGACCCCCCGCCCCCACCAAGGTAGTGCTGTGCGGATGGGGGCAGCGGGAACAGTGCTGCTTGCGGGGCCCTAAAGCATTCCAGAACCCAGTGCTTCAGGCGTGGAGGGACTGAGTATCAGTACTAACGGGACAAAATAGCCAAAATAGTGTGGTGACGGGTAAGGAGCAGCTTAGCTGTTATCGCGGAACAGGTGAGCCTTCCCTCACAGGATGGCGCCCCGGCGCTGTCGGCCACACGGGCCACAGGTGAGCAGGCTCCTGAGTTCAGGAGCGCCGTGACGTGGCCTCCCTGTGACGCGGCCGCCCCGTGATGAGGCCGCCCTCTGAGCTCACTGCCCAGAGCTGACATGCGCCCTCCTCTGTTTGCCTCAGCCTGGTTCGCCCCCTCCGCCCCAGCAGTGCGTCGTCCAGCACTCCCTGTTTGGGAGCCCGGTCCCCAAGACGAAAGACCCTCCCCGCTACGAGGAGGCCATCAAGCAGACGCGCGGTGCCCAGTCCTCCCTTCCAGAGGTAAGCGAGGCTGGCGGCCACGGTCCGTGGGCTTGGATCTGGGGCGTCGTGCTTATGTCGAATCCCTTGTGTAAAATGCACTTGCCGCAACGGGAACACAAATTTCAGAGCCCAGGAGTCTCGTTTGCATTTGAAATGCGGTATTTTTTTTATTGACGTATACTTGACATACAGTATTATAGTAGCTTCAGGTGTACGACTCGGTGATTTGACACTTCTGGACATTGTGAAATGCTCGCCGGGGTAGGCGGAGTTAGCCGCCTGTCGCCATGCAGCGTTCCTACGATCTCCCTGCCTGTGTCCCGCGTGCTGCACTTCCCAGCCCTGTGACTTGTTCTGTACCTGGACGTTTGTACTCTTAATCCCCTGCCCCATCTCCCCTCTGGCGCCTACCAGTGTGTTTGGATTTACGAGTCTGTTTCCGTTTTGTTTGCTCATTTGTTCTGCTCTTTAGATGCCACAGACAAGTGAGATCATTTGATGTCTGTTTTTCTCTGTCCATCTCCTTTCACTCACATAAACCCCTCTTAGTCCAGCCCTACTGTCACAAATAGGAAAAACTATTTTTTTTAGTTTTATTATTTTATTTTTCTGAGACAGAGACTGAACACAAGCAGGGGAGGGGCAGAGAGAAAGGGAGACACAGAATCCGAAACAGACTCCAGCCTCTGAGCTGTCAGCAGAGCCTGATGCAGGGCTCAAACTCATGAGCTATGAGATCATGACCTGAGCCGAAGTTGGACACTTAACAGACTTAGCCACCCAGGCTCCCTGGACAATTTTCTTTTAGTTTGTTTTTAAGTTTTTTTTTTAAATGTTTTATTTATTTCTGAGAGAGAAAGAGGCAGCATGAGCAGGGGAGGGTCAGAGAGAGAGGGAGACACAGAATCCGAAGCAGGCTCCAGGCTCTGAGTTAGCGGTCAGCACAGCACCCGACGTGGGGCTCGAACTCACGAACCGTGAGATCATGACCTGAACCGAAATCGGACGCTTAACTGACTGAGCCACCCAGGCACCCCTGGAAAAATCTTTTTAAAGCTGAGTAATATTCCTCTGTGTATGTGTGTATGTTTGTATCACATCTTCTTTATCCACTTATCTATCAGTGGACACTTAGGTTGTTTCCATATTTGGCTGGTGTAAGTAATGCTGCAGTAAACATAGGGGTGCATATATCTTTTCAAAGTAATGGTTTTTGCTTTCTTTGGATAAATACCCGGAAGTGGAATTGCTGGGTCATAGGGTAGTTCTATTTTTTTTTTAATGACCCTCCATACTATTTTTCAGTGGCTGCATAAGTTTGCATTCCCACCAGCAAGGCAAGAGCGCTCCCTTTTCTCCACATTCTCACCAACACTTGTTACTCCTTGTCTTTTTGTGAGTAGCCATCAGGAACTGGTGTAACGTGTTATCTTGTGGTTTTGATTTGCATTTCCCTGATGACTAGTGGTTGAGCATCTTTTCTGTGGCTATCTGAATGTCTTCTTTGGAAAAATGTGGATTCCGCTGTTTGGGAATGGAGGGATGGAATGTTCTGTATATTTCTATTAAGTCTGTCTGGTCTGATGTGTCATTCAGAGCCACTGTTTATTGATTTTCTGCCTGGATGATCTATTCATTGATGTTAGTGAGGGGTTAAAGTTCCCTACTATTATCGTAGTGCTGACAGTCTTCTCCCTTTAGTCTGTTAGTATTTACTTTATCTGCATAATATAGGGGCTCCTGGGTTGGGTGCATAGGTGTTTACAGTTGTTATAGCCTCTTTTTGGATCGATCCCTTTATCATTACTCAGTGCCCTTCTTGTCTCATTACAGCCTTTACTTTAAAGTCTGTTTTGTCTGTTACAAGTTTTTAAATATTACTACCTCAGCTTTTTTTTTTTCTTCCATTTAAGTGGAATATCTTTTTCCATCCCTTCACTTTAATTAAGTCTATATATGTCTTTAGGTCTGAAGTGAGTCTCTTATAGGCAGCACATAGATAGGTCTTGGGTTTTGTTTTTGTTTTTATCCATTAGGTCATCCTCTGTCTTTTGATTGGACCGTTTAGTCTGTTTAAAGTGAGAGGTATGTACTTATTGCTGTCTTCTGTTTCCTGGTTGTCTTCAGAGTTCCTCTCATAGCTCTTCTTCTCTTACTTTGTGATTAGATGACTTCCTTTGATGTTATTCTTGGATTCCTTTCTCTTTATTTGTTGTGTGTCTCTTATAGGTGTTGGATTTGTGGTTACCTTGAGGTTCATAAATAACACCCTAGCTGTATAGCAATGTAAATTGATAGTTTGCTAAGTGCAACCCATTCTAATGTTACATTTTTATTCCCCTTTTATGTGCATGATGTCGTATTTTACATCTTTTTTATTTTGTGAATCCCGTAATTATTTTAAATACAGTTGATTTTACTGCATTGTCTTTCAACCCTCATACTAGTTTTATAAATGAATGACCTACTATCTTAATTTTACCAGTGAAACTTTTTCCTTTCATAATTTTCTTCTGGTTATGGCCTTTCCTGCTTCAAGTAGTTCCTTTAACATTTCTTTTAAGGCCAGTTCAGTGGTGATGCACTCCCTTGACTTTTATTTGCCTGGACAACTCTTTATATTTCCCTCAATTCTGAGTGATCACCTTGCTGAGTAGAGTGTTCTTGCTTGTAGATTTTTTTTTTCCTTTCACCACTTTGTATATAGTATGCTGCTACCATCTGTCAAAGTTTCTCCTGAAAAATGAGCATACAGCTTCATGGGGTTTCCCTTGTATGTATCTAGTTGCCTTTCTCTTCTTTTAAGAATCTCTCTTTATTTTTAATATTTGACTTTTTTTTTTTTTTTTAATGTGCACTTACTTTTGAGAGAGAGAGAAAGTGCAAGCAGGGGAGGGGCAGAATCTGAAGCAGGCTCCAGGCTCTGAGCTGTCAGCACAGGACTTGAACCCACAAACCACGAGATCATGACCTGAGCCGAAGTTGGATGCTTAACTGACTGAGCCGCCCAGGCGCCTCTAAGTTTTGACATTTTAGCTATTATGTGGACTTCCTTAGGTTCATCTTGTTTGGAGCTCTCTACCTTCTTGGACCTGGCTATCTGTTTCCTACTCCATGTTAGGGAAGTTTTCAGCTATTATTTATTCAAAAAAGTTTTCTGGCTCTTTTTCTCTCTCTTCTCCTTTGAGGACCCTTATAATGCAATTGTCAGTATACTTATTGACCCAGAGGTCTCTTAGTCTATCCTCAGGTTTTTGGGTTTTTTTTCCTATTCTTTTTGGTATTCAGTTTGGGTGATTTCCACTGCACTGTTTTCCAAATCACTCACCTGTCCTTCTGTGTCCTCTAATCTGTTGCTGATTCCCTATTGTGTATTTTTCAGTTCTGTTGTTTTATTCTTCAGCTTTGATAGGTTCTTTTTAATATTTTCTGTCTCTTTGTTGAAGTTCTGAGTTCATCCATCCTTCTCTCAGATCCAGTGAGCATCTTTTATGACCATTACTTTGAATTCTTAACAGGTAGATTGCTTATCTCTGTTTCATGTAGTCCTTTTTCTGAAGTTTTATATTGGAACATATTCCTCTGTCTCCTCATTTTGTCTGACTCTGTGTTTGTTTCTATGTTCAGGTAGATTGGCTCCATCTCCTGGTCTTAAAAGTAGTGGCCTTGTGTAGAAGGCACCCCGTAAGGCCCAGTGATGCAGTCCCCTCTGCTCACCAGAACCAGGCACTCCAGGGTGACCTCTGTGTGAACTGTTGTGACTGGACCAAGACTTCTTTGGATATGCTGGTGGGCAGGGCTGGCCCCATCCTTCTCCAGAACAAGTTGTCCACTTGGTGGGGCAGGACAAGCATCGTTAGCAAGATTGATGGACAGTGTCAGAGCTGGCTCCCACCAATATATACATTCATAGACAAATTTCCTACAGATCCCTGCTCTTCCAGCACATGCCCTAAAAAGTAAATCTCTGTCACATATAACCCAGACACTTTCCAAACTGCTACTTCTGTGCTGGGTCTCAGACCAAGTGATATAATGCACTGGCACTTTAAGAGCAAAATATCAGTTCCTATAGCCTTCTGGCTCCTGCCCCAGTGATTTTTAAAGCCAGAGGTTATGGGGGCTCATCTACCCATTGGAGATCGCCAGGGTTGGGGGTGCCCCCTGTGGGACTCAATCCCCTTGCTCACGCATGATAGGGATCACTGTGCCAGGGATTTGGTTCCTGACCACATCCCTGCCCCTCCTTCCCTCCTCCATGTGGCTTTCTTTATCTTTCACTGTGGGAGAGGTTCTGTTAGTCTTCAGGTCATTTTCAGAGGGAGTTTCACTATATTTAGTTACCCACTTGATGTGTGCATGGGAAGTGAGCTCAGGATCCGCCTACTCTGCCATTTCCCATGCTTCTCTTTTAAATGCTACTTTAAATCAAAATACCACTCACTGTGAAGACTGCCAAACAATTTCAGCATCTGTGTAACCTGCAATTCCTACTTACTCACAAATTCAGGGTTTGTCTTTTAACTTCTCCTTGGGGCATGAGTCATGTTAAGAATAGATGTGATGGTAGCCAAGGCATGTATTTTATACAGGTTTCTCTTTTCTTCTCATTTTTTTAAAGTCAAGCATAATTAACATACAGCGTTGTATTAGTTTCATGTGTACAATATAGTGATTCAGTAAACCAAGTTCTCTGGTTGCTTTGTTTTTAATTTACATCCAAGTTAGTTAGCATATAGTGCAATAATGATTTCAGGAGTAGAATCCAGAGATTCATCACATATATATAACACTCTAGTGCTCATCCCAGCAAGTGCCCTCCTTAATGCCCCTTGCCCATTTAGCCCATCCCCCCACCCACAACCCCTCCAGCAGCCCTCAGTGTGTTCTCTGTATTTAAAACTCTCTTATGTTTTCTCCCCCTCTCTGTTTTTATATTTTTACTTCCCTTCTATTATGTTCATGTTTTGTATCTCATATTCATATCTTCATATGAGTGAAGCCATATGATGTTTGTC